CCCCCCCCCCTTCCGATAGTCTGGCATATCTGATAATCTGGCACCCCCTGGGTCCTAAAGGTGCCGAATTATCAGAAGCTTACTGTACTTATTTTTTTGTTTTTTTGCTTGCTTTTTAAAAAATGACTTGCAAGTTAGTCAGTCTGTTTCTGTTAAAATAGTATCCGTGTCTGTGCCTAAAGTGGTATTTGTAACATACTTATTCAACCATGGCGATAGTCTGGCATATCTGATAATCTGGCACCCCCTGGGTCCTAAAGGTGCCGAATTATCAGAAGCTTACTGTACTTATTTTTTTGTTTTTTTGCTTGCTTTTTAAAAAATGACTTGCAAGTTAGTCAGTCTGTTTCTGTTAAAATAGTATCCGTGTCTGTGCCTAAAGTGGTATTTGTAACATACTTATTCAACCATGGTAAGCCGTGGATGAGGAAGTGGGTAGGGAGTCAGTAGGGGCTAGGAGAGGCACTGGGGTGATGAGCCTTGGGCTGGTGCCAGAACACAACTCGAGGATGGAACCCTCAACCCAAGAGCTAAAGCCCGAGGCCTGAACCCCACAAACCCTGGGCAGGTGGGGAACTTTCACTAGCTGCAGGCTCCTCTAGTGTTTGTGACTCCACTTCTTGTTCCCCTCTCTCCCTGCCCCAATCTCTGCCCAGGAGGTTGTGGTTACAAGAAAGCCTTTTGTGGCCATATTTGGGTAACATTAACATACTCAAGTAAAATATTAATGTGTCCAACACACAAGGTATCAATGTTTTCTTTATTTATGACAGGGGTGGGGTACCTTTTTGGGGGTTGGGGGCTACTGATCCATAGAAAAAATCAGTTGGGACCACTCAAGTGAGACGCTAAAAACCTCCAACTGCATGCAGAGACATATTTGCCCTAGCAGCCGGCCACTCTGAGTGGCCTGAGGGGCTGCAGAAGGCAGGCAGCCAGCCTGCCTGAGTGCTCCCCCGTAGGCCACTGGCTGAGAGCCGCCTATGATAAACACCTCCTGGCCAGAGCCTGTAACTCATGTCCCTTCCTGTATCCAACTGGTCATAACACCCTCCTGCACCCAAACTCCATCGCAGACCCTGCATTGCCTCTGAACCCTCACTGATGTGGCCCACAACTGAAACTCCTCACTCCCCTGGAGCTTCAGCCCCATGGGGGAGGGGAGGTGAGAAGGAGAGGGAGAGGAGGACTGAGGATTTGAACCCCTTAGGCTCTGGAGTGGGGCCAAAAATGAGGCGTTCAGTGTGTGGGACAGGGCTGCCAGTGAGTGAAATAGGGATGGAGGAGCAGGATCTCGGCAGGAAGCAGGGTGAGGAGGGGCTGAGGGTGCAAGGTCTGGGTGGGAGGAAGTGTGTAGGAGCAGCCTGGGGCCAGGTAGGGAATCTGGCCAGGAAGGAGGGTGCAGGAGCAAGGGATGGTTAAGGAGCAAGCTGTGGGTATGGGGTCTTGGCGGGGGGAGGGGAATGAGTGTGGGGGATTGGAGTGCAGGTGTCTGGGCATGAGAGGGAGATGCTTACCTGGCTTCGTACCCTGGTACAGTGGAGTAAGCTAGACAGTATGTCACTGTGCTGCTGTGCCCCCAGCAGGATGGGGGAGGGGAGGGAGCTTAGCTCCCTCCTGGCCAGCAAAGAGTCCTTAGGCTCCCCAGTCCCATGACTGTCCAGTTCGTTTACCCAGCCAGAGATGTTGGCTCCCAGCATCCCCCCCACAGCAGGACTCTCAGGAACGCTTCACAGGGTACGAGACAGCTAGGGACTGTGCAGCATTGACACTAGGGATGGTAATACAGTGATCTCTCACCTGGTACGGAGAAGCAGCTGGCCCTGAGGAAGGGTAGGGGAGCTGTTTAGGCAGGGATCCCTTGCTCAGTGCTGAGATGCTGAGTCATTCAGTGGTTTCAGGAGGAACTGTTGGTTGATGCTGACCTCAGTTATCTCACAGGATGTCAAAGAGGTTGATGTTCTGTCCCCATGTGGGAGAGGGGGAGGTGAAGTTGTCTAGCTTGTTACAACAGGGGGTGATTTCAGAGAAATGGACTGACCTGGGCATCCATGTACTCCCTGAGAGCAAGCCAGGCCTCGCTCCACCCCCTGCATTGGTCCAGGGCTTGTGCTCTGACCATCGGTTTGTGCCCTGCTCCTTGGTATGGGTCAAGCTGTGGGCAGTCCCCGGGGTCTGCTCTTTGCACAGCCTTGCTTGTGGAAGAGGTCACATGTTATCATGTGCTCTCAAGTTCTACAATCTCTGAGCCTGACCCCATCACACCATAGTCTCTAATTCCCCCATTGCCTCCTCACCCGGGCCCTCGGTTTCCCTGCCCCGATTCCCACCCCATTGCTCCGCCTACCTCAGGCCCTCCACTACCTCATCACCCTCCCCCAGCTTCACCATTGTCTCCTCCACCTTCTTGTTTCCTTGGACCTGGCACCTTCATATCCCCCAGCATCAGACACCCCAGATCCCATCTGTCAGTCTTGTGCAGTGGCAGCTGCCAAGAGCTGCAGTGGCATGCTGGGAGCCTCAGTGCCACAGGGACATGTGTGTTCCAGCTCTGCGTGGGGTTCCTATGCTGCCCAGCAGTGGTGGGCAGGGAACGGGCAACTCTTGGGGGCACCAGGGGCAGATGTGAGTGGGGAGCTGGGTCTGGCAGGGAAGGTTGGGGCTTTTTTCACCCTATTGGGTACCCTCCCAGTCGGGGTTGGGGGGAGGAGAATGAGCTGAAGCCACTAACCACCTGGAACTCACTATGACAACTAGGCTATGTCTACACTAGTGGCTTTTTGCGAGAGTAATATGCAAATGAGGCTAAGCGTGGAATAACAACAAGCCATATTGGCATACCTAATGAGACACCATTTTTTTTTCAGAAGAGGCTCTTGCGCAAGAAGGAGCGACTACACTGCCGCTTCTTGCGCAAGAAAAACCCTCTTGCGCAGTGCCGTTCTTCCTGAAAAGTAATAGGTGTAACAGCAGGGACTGCTCATGCTGGGCTGGAACACCACCTATCTGGCATGGCCAGGCCAGGCAGGACCAGTCATGGGCATGGGCTGCTCACTGGGTTGGAGCAGCTCTCTGCTCGGGATGAACAGGGAGCTGCTCCAGCCCCACCCATTAACCAGAACTGGTAAGACTCACCTATTAAGGTTAACCATTCACATCCCTAATTTCAAGAGAATTTTCATTTGGAGTTGTTTGTGTTTTATCATGACTGTAGAAAGTAATAGGTATCAAATTGACCCAGGATATTAGGAAAAAGTTTACTGTGTATTTGTCAACACAAAGCAAGTTTCCTGAGTAAAGTCTAGCTTTAAAAATGCTACGTAGACAAACTCTAGGTCCAGACTTTCATTTTAATTTATGCTGCTGGAGTTAATGCCCTTATAACCTAGGCACTGAGGCATGACTTACTACAAAAAATACAGCAGCACAGTTTATTTCATTCCCCTGGCATGTTTGGAGTTCAGGGATTAAAGAGAGGAGACAGGACCAACTATCCAGAATGCCTTGTGAAGGGGAGGGGGTAAATTTGATTGTCGTCAGCAGTGGATTTCCATATGAGTATTTAAAAGCCTGTAGCTTGTCAAGACGGTTGCTCTAAAAATAGCTTGTGAGAAGAGTTTGCAGTCTGGTTTAGTTTCAGATACTAGCTGAGCTAGCTTTATTAAACTTTTTTTTTGCCACCCTCTCAAGACTAGAACGAGGGTAACTTGTTCCTTGTTTCGCCTTGGATGTTGATTTTTGGACTCAAGTATATTTATTTTATCCATGGATAAAGGATACTAATGCAATGGCTGAAGATTCAGGTATAATTCTAACCTTTGGCAGAAACAAACTAACCAAGAAACAATTGGAAATGCATAATTATGTATTTGTTTGGGTCTGTCTTTTGTTCTCAACAGAATAACCAGTTTATTGTGGTGTGTGACTGCTTTTGACTCTGTTCTCTATTTTGCTCTGCATCAAAAATTGCTTTTATTTTTGCTATTTTAAACTAATTCTGAAATAGATATCTTTTTTTTCTAGGTTTTATGGCAAGTGGTCAGTCATATCCAATATAGTTTTATAGCATAGTATTCTTATTAATGGGAAGCATTTTTTACATGGGAAGATTTTACTTGAACATGCTATTTCTGAACATGTTAAATATAAGAAAATTAACAAATTTGTTCCTACATAGTCTCTTTATTCATAGAAACCAGTCATATTTAGTACCTTAACATTTGTTTTTGAGGAGTATTATGTGTTTCAAGACTTTTATAGTGTCTGTTTGAAGGCATATGTCAGGGTAAGCAGAGGCTTACCAGATATGGAAACTGACCTACTTTCTACATAGCTAATGATATATGCAGTGAAGGGCTTCATAGTGGCATTAACTTCCTGGAATGAGTTCAAATCCAGAGTTGTCATTCCTTAATGGTTTGTTAGCTTTAATCTCTGACTCTGTATATGTATGTTTGCCTCTGTAAATGATGACTGAATCTTATGATGAAGAATTTTAACATTTGCTTTTAAAGAAAAATTGTGACAAGTTAGCGCAGATATGTTTTGTTTTGAGTTCTTCGTAACAAAAGTGTTCAAAGCACCCAGAGATTAGGAATCAACGCTTGTAAATGGAAGCTGCACTTGTAACAAATGTTTGTGTTGTAGCAACTGATTGTGGAAGGTGTAGATAAAACTCTTCACTAAATGTGAAAATCTGCAGTAATAATATTTGGTTATGTATTTAATTAAAGACAGTGTTATTTAGATGTTCTGTCTTATTGCACTGTGGTACGCAGTCCTTTTTTCAGAGACAAATAGTGGTTAAGATGTTACGGGAGAAAAGAGTATACAAAAGAAATGAAAGTATAAAATGGAATCATAACTCTATTTACTTATGCCAGTATAGTTTCAATATATAATATAGTAGTGGGGATAGATTACCAACCACCTGATCAGGATAATGACTGTGACTGAAATGCTGAGGGAAATTAGAGAGGCTATCAAGATATAAAACTCAATAATAATAATGAGGGATTTCAACTATCCCCATGTTGATTGGGTTCGTGTCACTTTAAATGGGATGCAGAGAGAAAGTTTCTTGACCCCTTAAATGACTGCTTCTTGGAGCAGCTGGTTCTGGAACTGTCAAGAGGAGAGGCAGTTCTTGATTTGGTCTGAAGTGGAGCACAGGATCTGGTCCAAGAATATAGCTAGACTGTGGAAATAGTGACCATAATATAATAAAATGTAACAGCCCTGTGGTGTGAAAAACACCATAGCAGCTCAGCACTGAGGCATTTAATTTCAGAAAGAGGAACTACACAAAAATGAGGAGGTTAGTTAAATAGAAATTAAAAGGTACAGTGCAAAAAGTAAAATCCCTGCAAGCTGCCTGGAAACTTTTCAAAGACACCATAATAGAGGCCCAACTTAAATATATACCCCAAGTTAAAAAACACAGTAAGATAATAAATAAGTGCTACTATGGCTTAGGGAGGTGAGCAACTAGTCAACTACCCGATAACCATTGGCTTATCGGGCAGTTGAGTTACTATTCGCCCCTGCCCCCCGCTGCCTCTGTATCAGAGGCAGAAGGGGGGCGGGAGCAGGAGCTGATGCTGGGGGGAGCCAGCTTAAAAGCTGGTTCTTCCCCATCACCATCTCTGTGGGGAGAGGTGTGGGGGAGGAGGAGAGGCGGAATGGGAAAACTGCGTGAATGGGCACTGAAGCCCCATGGGGCTTGTGGTACACTTCACAGGCAGAGGCACAGCAGTCAGGGCCCTGCGTGAGCAAGGACTTTTTCAGGCCCATTCGCTCTGGGTTCCCTGCTGCACCTCTGCTTTCCCTCTCACCTCTCTGTGGAGATGCAGTTGGGACCTGGCAGGAGGCCCTGGGTTCCCTGCTATGCCTCTGCCTTTTAAATGTAGCAAGAGCACCACGGGGCTTTTACTACATTTAAAAGGCAAAGGTGCAGCCAGGATAGTGAGCGTGCTACCCTACCCCTTGATTAATTGAATAGTCGATGGAATTTCCATCAGCTACTCGATTAGCTGATTAATTGGAATTTAACATCCCTGCTGTGGCTTGGCTTAACTAAGTAAAAGAAGCAGTGAGAGATGAAAAAGGCATTGTTTTAAAAATGGAAGTTACATCCTAGTGAGGAGACTGGAAAGGAGCATAAACTCTGACATGAAGTGTAAGAATATAATTAAGAAGGCCAAAAAAGAATTTGAAAAACAGCTAGCCAAAAATTCAAAAAGCAATAGCAAAATGTTTTTAAGAACATCAGAAGCAGGAAGCCTGCTAATTAAACTTTGGGGCCACTGGACAATTGAGATGCTAAAGGAGCACTCAAGGATGATAGGTCATTGTAGAGGACCTAAATGAATTCTTTGCATTGGTTTTCATGACTAAGGTAATAAATCTGAGCAATTGTCCCAAATTGAAGTGTTGTTAATGGAGGTTTTGGAACAAATTGAAGAACTAAACATTAACAAGTCACAGATAGCTAGTGCGGCACCAATCTTTAAAAAAGGCTCTTGAGGTGATCCTGGCAATTACAGACTGGCAAGTCTAACTTCAGTACTGGGAAAATTGGTTGAAACTATAGTAAAGAACAGAAGTGGTCAAACACATAGGTGAATATAACATAATTTGTTGGGGAAAAATAAATATGATTGCTCTAAAGGGAAATCATGCCTCACTAATTTACTAGAATTTTCTGAAGGTATGAAAAAAGCATGTGGACAAGCAGGATCTAGTGGATATAATGTACTGAGATTTCCAGAAAGCCTTTGATAAGGTCCCTTACCATATAAAGAGAGATTAAAAAGCCTGGGATATGCCATATGAAGAGAGATTAAAAAGACTGGGACTTTTCACTTTAGAAAAGAGGAGACTAAGGGTGATATGATAGAGGTCCAAAAATCATGACTAGTGTGGAGATAGTGAATTAGGAAAAATTATTTATTTGTTCCTATAACATAATTTCATTTGGTGACCCCCAGTTCTTAATAGGTAATAGGTTTAAAACAAACAAGAGAAAGTGCTTCTTCACACAATGCACAGTTAACTTGTGGAACTCCTTGCCATGAGACATGTGAAAACCAGGACTTTTTAACAGGGTTCAAAAACAATCTAAATAAATACATGGAGACCAGGTCCATCAATGTCTATTATTCACGATGGATAGGAATTAGGGATATGGACTGGTGACCGATCAACCAGATACCCAGTAAGCATCACCCTTAACTGGTCATGGTCTCTGAGTAATGGTTAACTGTTACCTAGGAGCAGGTCTGTGCCTATGGGAGCCAGTGTGCAACCATTAATTTTTTTTAGCGGCTACCCAGTTACGATAATAACCGTTTAACATTCCTAGTAGACAGCTTTACAAAGGTTTATTGAGCACTTGATAGTATTGAAGTACTCATGATACTATACTTCACTTGCACAGTTTGTAAAACCATGTATACTTGTATAATAAAATACTGTATCATATTATAGTAATCCAGTTTTCATGTTGACACATTTTTAACAGAGACAAAACATGGAGGAAACAAGAATGGGAAGAAAGAAGGCCTCTCTGGAAGCTCATTTTTCACCTGGTTTATGGTAATAGCATTGCTTGGAGTTTGGACATCAGTAGCAGTTGTTTGGTTTGAACTTGTAGATTATGAAGAAGTTTTAGGTAAGAATTTCATGTATCAATATGTGTAATGTAGTAAATCAGAAAATGTGTTACCTGTATCTTCGTTTAATTAAATAGAAGCATTTTCTGATTTCAGGAGGAAAGACTGAAGACTTAATCTTGCCTTTAGATAGGTGGGAGCACATAATCAATTTGCAAATTAACGACTATACATATATTTGCAAGTGTGTTATATTTACAAGACAAATACATCAAAGACCCTTGATATCATAGGATGCATACTGTGCTTTGTGTATTGTTTAAAATTTACAGTTCTAATTGATCTAAAAAAAATTCTTATTTGTTAGGAGCGAAGAAATGTGTCCAGTTTTCACCTCATATTATAAATGCAGGTGCTTTGTTAGTTTATCTCTATCTTTGATGTGGGTGAATCTAGGAGAATTAGACTTGAACTTTAAGGTACAGAAAGCATCTGATTTAAAATCTGATCAGGGTCTGATGATACAAATAATGGTTTTTGTATTTTTACCATGCATGCAGCCAAAGCAAAGGACTTCCGTTATAACTTGTCAGAGGTACTTCAAGGTAGGCTATTGGGAAACAAACTTCTTTCACTCTCCCTGGGATTAAAATTTATGCTCATCATATTCTGCTTTACTTTTTACTTTAACTTTTAATTTTTTTTCTGTTCCTTCAGTCGTCATTCAAATAAGACTCCAGCACACTATTATTCTAATTTTTCTTTCTATTCTAGAAAAAAAATATATTCTTGTTCATTAGGTGAATGTTACTTAGAAATTTTGTATGTGCTTTAACTTGAAAATCAACAGCAATAATTTAGTTTTTTATTGTTGCGACAGAGTGGTGATGGCTTATTTATTGTCTGTTCTCCACCTGTTCCTATCTTATTTTCAATACTGTGCTTTAGTTTGTTAAAATATTTTCTGTAAGATTTATTGAGAACAGGAAAGTAGCAGTTAACGCTTTGTTTTGTAGATATTTTACTGCTGTTGTAGTGATTGGTGACAGTTCTTTCATCCACGAAAAAGCAATGGCATGCTCACAGGCAGTAAGAACCTCTTAACTTTACAGCTGCTGCCCGTGACCTTATAGCATTGTAATTTACACTTGAATTTTGCCATGGTATTAAGGCTTTATCAAAAACTAATTAAAACATTAAATGACCTACTAATTCAAGTGTTGATCCCATTAAACATCTACTTTTAGATGGCACAGTTTTAGGTTTCTTTTTCATTTTCTAAGAGCAACTACGTTCCCTTGAGTGTTAACTCTATGAAAGTGGTAGGGAACCGTTTTTGGGTCGGGGGCCACTAACCCACAGAAAAATCAGTTGGGGGCCACACACAAGTGAGAGGCAAAAAGCCCCAACCCTCCCAAAACAAAATGCAAAACTTTTACTGACATGGTCCCTGACGGAAAAGGAAAAAGATGTCCCCCAGATTCCCGTTGCACACCAGCCTAGTAGATTTTGTGTGCTCCATCCCCATGCTGAGGCAGTGCTGGGGGATCCTGAGCCTTAGGGGCTGGACCCAGGCAAGTTGGAGGCTGCATCCGGGCCTGAGGTTCCCCACCCCTTTATAGCTTCTAAAGGTGCTGTGCCTGAAATAAAAAATTGTATATTAAAAAAAACTTTACTCATTATTACTGAATAAGACAGCTACCATTTATGATGTGTTGCTTTTGCTTATCCATGTATACCAGGGCTCATGGCTAGTAATGATGGTATACCCTGGATAGTAAGTTTACTGTAGCTAAGAAACTAATAGCTATTGGTGACATGTCTGTGAATTCTTGTACATTTTCAGTGGGATATGGGCTACTTATGCTCCACTAAACTGGTACTGAAACCAGCCTATTATAATTTTAACATTTGTATATGGGAAATGTCTAGAATAGCAGTCAATATGAAGAAAGAAAAATGGTAATTATCTGAATGTCCTGAATTCAAAGTTAGCTACACAAAAGGCAATCTGAAAGGATGCAATGAAACACGTTTATGCAATCATATAAAGTGCACAATTTCAAATTGAAATGTATATCTACTGTTTTGTGTAACATAATAAAGAAATTGGACATTGAAATAGATATCGACTTATGCTTCAGTAAGAATCATGTGTAGACAACCGTGTTTGTGTGTATGGAATGTTTACAAACAGCTGTATAATGAACACATGTTAAATGTGTTTATTTGGTAGCATGTTACTGAATTCCTTCATTCTTACCCCTTTTTTTATATTTTAGGCAAGCTTGGGATATATGATGCTGATGGAGATGGAGATTTTGATGTGGAAGATGCCAAAGTTTTGTTAGGCAAGTACACAAACAACTTTTTGGATTACAATCTGAAGTCTATGTAATATAGCTTTCATATTTCGGATTGCTTGATTTGTCTTAGTTTATGATACGAAGTGATAAAATTGGGAATTAGGGCAATACCTTAAGACTGTAATTCATTTCATGAAAATAATATGAACTCTTTTTTTTGACCTAGTATTTTTAAAATATAGATAGAATTATGTAGTACCTTGTATTGTTTGACTTTAACATCTTCAAGTCTTAAAGTATTGATTTATCAAGAAATTTTACCAAGAAATGTTTTGAAGTGTTTTGCTTTATGTAAGATGGACACTAGTACTTAAAATCCTCACAGTATTACAGCATAGTGCAAAAATCCTCACAGTATTACAGCATAGTTCAAACACACAAACACAAACCTCAGATACATTGTAAATCAGGTTGTTCCAGAAGTATATAAATACATTCTCTACGGTTAAAGTAGGAGCGTTTTGCATTTATTTTCTGATTTTTCTCTGAGAGGGGTCTCAGAAAGTTCCAGAGACCACTGTTTACTTTTTGGCCTTCACAGGTCTTGCATAACATTTACTATCTCTTTGACATAAAGAAAAAAACTAGTCTAGGCTTCCTCTGCAGCACACCAGCATTGTTCCGTATGTGACTAGAGAATACCTTTTCTTGTACTCATCTGAAATCTATTTCTAGAACATAAACTTCAGGTAATATTCATGGGAATGCATTACACCAGATTCACAAAGGCCATTGAACCACCATGCTTCAAACTTGGATCAAGATGCAAGAATATTTCATATGCATCTGAAATTAAATTCCCTGGTGGGTTTTGACTAGCTTTTTCTTTTTTCTTGTTTGTTCAAATTAATCCATTTAGAATTTTGTGCACATACAGAAATATTTTGAGTAACAATAGTAACATACTAGTTTGACTGTGTCCAAAAAAAATCTTTCGGAATTTCTCCCACAAGACCCTTCTCCACTATTAACTATTTTATAACATTGATTGTTACAGTCTTCTTTAAAAAGTAAATAGAGTAGATCAGAGGGCAATAAGAAGTAGGAATGTTGATATCAAGTAATTTAGTAGTCAAATAGCCGAATGAATTCTTAACAGTTACTTGACTATTTGACAGTCCTTGATAGCGGGACTGGCAGCCAGTGCTCTCGGTATCAGTGGCAGGTAGGAACCAGGGGAACCAATTAAAAAACCATTTCCCTACGCAAACTGTCTGCCGTCTGATACAGAGGTAGCAGAATGGGTGGCAGCAGCCCCTGTCCATGGGGGAGGGGGGTTTCGAGCTTTTAAGGTGGCTCCCCCCAGCACCGGCTCCTGCCCCCCCGCTTCTGTAGAAGGCAGTAAGGGAGAGGGCAGGCGAGTCCACGGAGCTGGCAAGTGTGGGGAGCCTGCTTGAAAGATGGCTTCCTGCACGTATCTGCTCCATCCTGCCCCATCTCACCTTTTACGCTGTAAGAGGCAGCAGCGTGGGTGTGCGAGGGGGCAGGTGGATCCAGTGCTCATGCGGGAGCCTGCTTAAAGCCAGCTCCTCACAGGCACTGCCCCCTGTTCGCTCCTTCCAACCCTCTTTGTTGCCTCTGGCTTACCAGTTGATTGGGGAGTCATGTTAACATCCCTAATAAGGAGCAAAATATTTATAGAAAAACTCACCTCACTTTTGAAAATTTGTGGTGGTGGTGATTATAAAACTTTGAAAATTGATATTCATTGTACGAAGCTGAAGAAATTACTTGAAATTTTTCACTATCTCCAATTCCATTTGAGAAGGTGTAATATCCTGAAATTACCTTCAGTCTTTGCATCTTGATGTTGGATCATAGCAAAATATTACATAAGACCGTTAAGACTGGCCATACTGAGTCAGACCAAAAATCCATCTGGGTCTGTATCTTGTCTTCTGAGAGTGGCAAATGCCAGGTGAGTTAGAGAGAATGAACAGTACAGATAATCAAGTGAGCTATCCCCTGTTGCCCATTCCTAGCCTCTGGCAAAGAGAGACTATTGACATCACCTGGCCTGGTTAATAGCCATTGATGGACCTATTCTCCATGAATGTATCTACTTCTTTCTTCAACCCAGTTATAGTTTTAGCCTTCACAATATCCTCTGCCAAAGAGTTGACGATGTGTTGTGTGAGGAAATACTTTATTTTGTTTTGTTTTAAACCTGTTGCCTATTTCTTTTAGTGACCCCTAGTTTTTGGATTGTGTTATATGTTGATGCCACACTTTAGTGCAAACTTCCAGTATAGTGTCAGGATGTTGTATATGCTCTCTGACCAGCCATTTATTGCTATTCTTCCCTGTTTCTGTCTGAAGAGATAGGCAGGAATCTTTGTTCATAGTCCATTTGTTTAGTTCTTTTGTGTAAGGAGAGAACTGCTGAGATCAGAGCTGCGTTCAGTTGGCTGAAGATCAGATAGCGCAAGGAGAATTCTAATCAAACCTATGGCTCTGGGAGAGCTACAGATTGGGAGCTATCATTGATCATTACATATGCTTGTATTTTACCTTGTTTTCTGTCAGTTTATGATAAAAGCGTTAACAGATTTTTCTTAGTCTTTCTTCAAATCTGAATTTTCTCATGGTGTATTCAGATAGAGTATTCTAATTATTGCATTTCATGACAGTCTCATTCTGACTGCACAGCTGGTAGCAAGATACTTGTGATGCTCTTAGATACATCTAACTTGATATGATTGGGGATTCTGCCAGTTCTGTGACACTGTTTCTATAATAATCTCACCTTCCCATGTGCATAAAACATAAATACATTCTCCTTTTAAATATACTATAAAAGGTCACAGATCAGTTACTTCCCCCCAAATACCAATTTTTAAATATAATTTTACTATTAAATTACAATAATGTGTGTTGGAGGATGGGAAAATATAATTGGTGGTTTTAAGAAGTTCTGTTGCTGATTCATATGCAAACTTTAGGAATTAAAAAGTAAAACTGATTAAATGGTCATAGCATGATTTAATTGCAGTTCACCTTTTTTGAAAGAAACAGTAAACAAAGTGCTTGGTTCTGTATATTATCTATTTATACAAGATTATTATCCTATGTATTCATAGTGCTCTAAAGTTATGACCCTGCCCTGAGAAACTTGTAGTAAACAGTTAAGTCTGTTAAGCTAATGAAGACATGTATATTAATAAGAGTAGTCCACCTGCTTGTGTATGACTATCCAAAAACTTTCATGATGTGACTATTTTACTATGTACCTTATGTTATTTTTTATTAGAATATTTTTGTCAAAGAATATATTTTGTGATGTATAGGGAGATACAAAGAGATTGTTTCCATACTGATTTAATACTGTCTCAATAACAAGATGTTTACTGTATGATATTTAATGCTATTAAATTGTCATTTTCTAATTTTTAATTAGTCTTCAAAGCAGGAGAGAAACCATGGTGCTTTAAAATCGCCGATATTGATACCTCCTACTTGCAGCACCATAGGTGGTGTGCACTTACAATATTATTGTGGTGGTCAGTAGGAGGTTTCAAATGTGTTTAAATTAAGAACTTAATTATAAATACAATTTTATATTTTCTAAATAGTGAAAAGTCCTTCTTACCAATGTGCTTTCAAGAGGAGCAAAAGAAGTATAAGTTTTTATTGCTGAGGTTTGATCAGTAGTTGATTTAATATACTATGTGCTACAATAATTATGTACATTGGAACATTAGGAGAAGGCAATATCAATCTTAAATTTCTCTTTTACTGATTTTTGGACCCTATTCCTGTTGGAGTTATTGACTTCATTGGGAACAAGGTTGGGTATTTGTGTACTACCCTTTATACTTCTGAAACAGTAGCATACACATGGGCAGAGAACTTGTATCCTTCTGCCTAAACAAAACACTTTTTCAGTCCTTGAACTGTATGTACAGGCAGTCCCCAGGTTACATGGATCTGACTTACATCGGACCCCTACTTACAAACGGGGTGAGGCAACCCCGCACTAGCTGCTTCCCCCCCACCAGACCAGGGAGATGCGAAGCTAGCGCCCCTCCCCCCCCGCGGACCAAGGAGACGCGGAGCGGCTTTTCTCAGCAGACACCTCAGCTTGAGAATAAAGGACTGAGGGAAGTGAGGTGTGGGAGAATAAAACTGAGCTCTGGAGAAATGTTTGGCTAGAGTTTCCCCTACAATATGTACCAGTTCGGACTTACATACAAATTCAACTTAAGAACAAACCTACAGTCCCTATCTTGTACGTAACCCGGGGACTGCCTGTACATATCTGATGCCATCATTTGCAGGCCCTTATTTTCAGGTCTGAATTGATTTTTTTTTTTTTTTTTTTTTAAATCTTTGGAAGTTGAATGATATATTTTATAGAAAAAACATATTGGAAATGGTGACATAGAACTACTATATGAATCATTGGGCTTGCACTGGTGTAATGGAGGGCAGAATTATGGTACTCCGAACCTATTTCTTAAACTTTAAGTAAATGTAAGGTTTTTGTATTATTTTTGACTGAAGTAAATAAATGTGTGGCTAATTAAAATCTATATGGGATTTTTCCATATTTGTTATTTTTTTTGTTTCTTTTAAAAATGAGTGCAGAGCATCATGTTCTAAATTGCCCAACCATGCAGTGAATGAGGTAATCAAGAACAGAGAAAGGTTTCTTAATTGTGCTATTCTTTCTATGGTATTTTACATGCCCTCCTAAAATGAAGCTTAACTAGTCCATTTCCTAAATTAGTTTCTTGTGTGTCCACTGGTCTAGCTATTGTATTAATCTTCTCATTCCGAATGATAGAGACTCCTTCCAAGACTTCTTGTTCCATTTTTCCTTACTTGCTAGTTCCTCCTGTTGACAGAATTGCCATCTCAGTCTTGTGCACTGACCCTGCTTAGCAAAAAGGAATATCCTCGTCTGCTGTTCTTAGAGCATGAGTTATTGGTCCTTTTTTAAACTCTTCCCTTGCTTTCATCCTAATTGACCTGATTAGTAGTGA